CAAAACTACACAACCATTACGGTCATTACTGTTACTGTTCCTCCTCCAGGGCAGAACGTTTTTCTTTTATTTGTTGCTATTGCATAAGGCACAGAATGCATTGGCCTGTTTCTTCCTTTTAGATCTCACTTAAATTCCTCCCAAAGCATTTTATGGCCTTCATCCTTAGAGACATATTTTAGGTAGAATCCATATGATTGTGTTTTCAGATTATCTGTTCTTTTTCATGCATACAGTACTCCTTTTATATGATGTGTGTTTTCTTCAGGAGTCTCATTGTGGGAGCCACTGTTAGTTGCTCTTCCTCTGGTTTTCCTAAAACTTGCATTTCAGCAGAATAAGTGCAGGGGTAAACAGCTGGTAATAATGCTGTGTCGTGCTCGCTGCAGGGATGACAACAGCCTTTTCCAAACGGCTGCCCACGCTGGAGTGCTGCATTTGGTTTATTGACTCTGCTGAATACCCTTAATTACTTATTGTGGAGCATGAATACAAGACATCCAATAAATGGTTCCATACAGCCGCGGCAATATGTTTGTGAGAGTTGTTTTGAAAACATCAGATATTTTCACGACTATCAAGTTGATTAAGCTTTATATAAAACTGTTGTAAAACAGTAGTGGCACATTACTATACATTTAATTTTCTGAATGGTTTTTCATCTTTATACTTTACTTCCTGTTACAACCATGTGGGCCATCTGGCCTGTGAGTGTGAGGATGGGATTTTGGAAAGGTGTGTTTGAGCGTGGAGGAAGCAGAGCCTGAAGCGAGGGCGGAGAGAGGACACAACTCAATCCGTACAGATTAATTTCAATTGATGTTTTTGTCAGAGAATCGTCATCTCTTTCCCCAGATTAAACTATGACCACTTCGAAAGGACGGGTAGTTTAAGGGATTGGGTGCAAAATCATTCTGTGACAAGATATTTTACCTTAAAATAAAAAGGATGAATCCCCTTTTCCATATTAAGGGTATTTTCCTTATCCCTCTTTATGTGTAATTTGATATCTGCGGAGAGGCCTCTGTTCCAAACTCTCATTTTGGGGGATTTTATTTATTTTTATGGTGACATCAGGAATTATGTAACTCTAAATGTTGTTTGGCTGCACGTGTGAACTTGGCTGGCTAAATAATGGCGTGTTTCTTCATAACTGTAACTGGAGGCCAGATGAACGTCACTCTTGCGAGCTGCATTCAAGAACTAAGCCAGCGTCCGTGCCTAATTATCATCCTTTTGAGTGTTTACATTTCACAGATGATATTCAGCAGGTTAAGATATGTGCAATTCCTTTCTGGATTTAAGATCCATGTCCTTTCAGCCTTGACTTTTTAATTTTTCTTGTCTGTTTCAATCTTTCCCTCTCACTCCCTCTGACCAGCACACATTGTTGGCCTATGATGCAATCTCTCTTCCCAATAGTTTAAGTTTCATGGCCAATCGGAGCGCAGGAGTAGGAGGGAATCCAGTCAGCTCATGCTTGTAAACAGCACTGACAGGAGGAGGGACTTTCAATTCACAGTCCCACCCTCTGTTGTCATCCCTGTTCAGTCTTGTTCAGTCTGTGTGTTTGTGTTGTGGTGGTGGGAAGAGGAAAAGCAACAGAAGGAAAAGGGAAAAGGAAGTATGGTCAGCAGGACCGTGGGGGGGGGGGGAGTCGAGGGGGGAGTCAGTGTGAGTCAGGGCGTGAGCTGATTCTTTAAAGTTAACACAGAGCTGCCATGGAGCCTTCTAGATTGATACTACACTCTACTGACAGTAGGTAGTCTTTTTGTCAACTCTGTGTGTTTTCCTCATAGTCATGTGTACAACTTACAATTTAGGCTTAGTTGTTAGTAGAGAGAAGTGTGTGTTTGTCAGACTTTATGCAGTTTCATTGGTGCTGCGTGACAGTGAATGGCTGTGTTTACTACTTTTCTTTTGAATCTGTGCGTCCCTTTCCTATACTCAACTGGGAAGGAAAGGTTACTTAAATGTTAAATGTTACTCTTCATTTTCACATGTGTTTTATAACAGTCACACAGCTATGAGGATCTTATTGTACAGTAAAGCTACAGCAGAGCGCTGAACGGGACAAAGAAAACTGTTACTTTTGTATTCGGTAAAGCCTTCTGTTGGTGAATGGGCTCATTGTGTGCTAACTCTGTGGCTGTTAGCTTGTTGTCACACAACATGCTGCCCTCATGCTCTTTAACATACACACAAACAATCTGTTACACATGCACAAGCTGTAATCCTGAAAGATTGAGGAATTAGTGAGGGTCACAAGCAACATGGGCTGTTATTACTGTGCATAAAACAACCCAGAGAAATATAACACATTTCATTTTGATGGCAGTCCTCTGCCGGATATGTCCTCTCATGCATCATTTTTGCTTCCTGCCTGGGCTTGGCTTTAGCCTACTCTGCTGCCTCTAACTTCAGCGCCTTAAATTTGCATGTTTTCACTCGCTTTTTTAACTTCCCAAGCTGTCACTTAAATGGTCATGGTTACTTTAGACTCTAGAGAGCATCACATGGAAGCATCGTGGCCTACTTAGACGTTTAAGTGGCCATGAATGAAGTTGGGACCAAAACACAGTCTGTTGAATGCATATAAGTATAAACATATGAGCATCCACTCATGTGCTCGAAAGCATGACCACTATGTGTATGTTGAACTTTTTCCCTCAACTAAAGTAAAGTGGGAACATACAAGAGAAAGTGAGTGATTCAAAACAGATGGTTTTAGCATTTGAGCTACTTTTATTTATCCAAATGTTTTCGAGACAGAATTCCTCATTGGGATTTATTGGACTCCAGATTCTTCTTTGCTTTGGTCCATCCTATAAAAAGGTGTTTTAAAATACACCCAACAGTAAATAAATAAGTACCAGCAACTTTGCTATCCAGCAGTCCTACGAGCCGCAGTCTTATTTTAGTTTCATCGTCATTGCTTCTTTGCCTACCCACTTATACACATATCTAAATTTAGAAAGTAGTCATTATGATATTAGTATCAGTGCGTTCTAGCAGAGAAAGAGAATGACAGGGAACAGCACTCAAGTACGGTACATCCTGTGGCTGATCGCTAATTATTTCTGCGTTCTTTTGAGAGACATTTAACCTTCCTTTCATCAGAATCGAACAGTGACAACTGGATAATCACAAAAGGCCAGTTTAGAGCGCAGGGCTTATAGAGAACAATGCATGTTTAGATTCAGACAAAGCATAAGCTACTTACCTGTAATCATTTATGTTAGACACCCTGCCAATCCCTTACCAAAGTGTGAATGTGACATGTCACTCTCATGGTTGACAGCTTAAGAAGTGACCTTTAACCTCTCAGTCTGTGTGTCAGTGGATCCTCTGTGTTTGTGGGCAGTGGGCAACAACTGACATGTGTAAAATGGCAGGGATTGGGAGCTATATCCAGCAGTGACAGATGTGCAGACAGGGGGGGGTGTGTGTGGTGGGGGGATGATGATTGTCAGTATGTTTTCTTTGTTGTGCATTGTGTCTGTCCTCATCAAGGAGTGTGTAATGTCCTCAAATACTGTACATCTTAAGGCCAGGAATGTTTGTTTTTCTGAGACGTGCTGAGACACTGTGTCTGATTCATTAATCATTAACGTGTTCACCTACTGAGAACATGTGACTCGACTTCATTACTGAAGCAGGTTAGCAACAAAAAAATCGAAATGGTATGCACAGAATTCCTCAAAGGTGGCAAGTTTAGACCAAAAAGTCAAATCACTTGTAGTTGTTTTCCAACTAAAATATGTTGTGGTCTCTTTTCATTGCATGTGTATATTTTATGTTTTAGGACATTTCTCCAATAGATAACACCTGATCTTCCAACATCATTTGCACATGTTGTGCATAGCTTTGAGAACATGCTGCAGAAGCATTTTTAACGCACCAATGTAATTAATGTGTTTATGCTCGCACTGATAAATGTGAAAGTGGGTCAAGTTGGAGTTAACACTGTGTTTGTGTTGCCAGGCAGAATATCAAAAATGCAAGCTGTATTTCTATTATAGATGTGATTGTGTAAAGCATGGGGCTTCCTCACAGAGCTCTGATCTATCTTATATTGTCAGCTACATGTATACATGGCTTTATATTCAGAGTGTTTGTTTAAGTGTGGCATCATTTTTTTTCATGAGTTATTCAAATTAGTGCAAACATGACATCCTTTGCACATCAATTATAAAGCAATTTCTAACCCTGACAGAATTAAACTGTTAAAAGGCAACGTTATCCCTTTTTTAAATTGAAGTTAAATGGTGCCTAGCCAACACATTTAAATGCAGGATTATAACAATTGACAGATCATTAAATACAGAAAGTATTAATGCTCAGTTATTTTTAAACATACAGCACTTTAAAGTTTCACTTATACAGCAAACTCTTAATCAAAGACTATAGATGTAAAATTGTGCTCTGTTCATATTTCCTTTTGAATGTTATAAAAGCATATGGTTCGTTGGAGAGACTTTAGCAGAGTGAGACCTCACTCGCGACTTGTAAATATAGACAGACAGACACAAATAGAAAAACATAGACGCTACTCTGCACATTCAGTTTTCCCTTGTGTATATGTGTGTGTAATATCACAACAGGTGTGTTCACTTTGGGTAGCATGTGTGGCCAGTAAAGCTTGTTTAATTAAATGTTGTGGATTATAATAGACGGCCCCTTCTGAACCACAGTCTGCACTTGTTGTCTGGTTTATTTGATTGTTTTGGCGTTATCAAGATGTTCATCAAAAGCCAGGCACAGGGCCATACTGGTTTCTCTACATCAGTTTCAGTCTGTTTACGGATTACTTCTATTTCACAGAGGTCTCTTTCAGCTAGCTTTTTTCGTATTAACCTAGAAAAAACACAATAACAATGGATGAGTATTTGTTCTAAACCAAGGAGCTTTGTTAACTTTGGTTCTTGGTACCTCCTGTGGTCAGTTTACAGAGCATTAGCAGCCCTGATATTAATGCTTTCATCTTTGTTTCTCTGCAGGTTAACCGCTGTCGTTGTCCGTGGCTTCAAATGTCCTCTCCTATGGCAAAGCGTGAGGCGGGGAGCACCAGCCCTGTGGTGCGTCAGATAGACAAACAGTTTCTGGTCTGCAGCATCTGTCTGGATCACTACCACAACCCCAAGGTGCTGCCCTGTCTGCACACCTTCTGTGAAAGGTAACTAACATTTGTGCTCTTTTTCAACGACGAATGAAGTCCTAATTTCCCACAAACCCCAGTCTCTGCTCACTCCATCTGCTACATATAACTTTTTCTGGCCTTGCAAAGAAGTTGATACACCACTCTTGCTATTTCCCTGCCAGTAATTATCCTCCCATCCTTTTATTGAAGAATTATTGTCATACTTACATGTCTCCAAATAGCGGGACCTCATCTACTGCAAATCCCTGGCCACAATTAAACAGCTCACAGCACTTCTCCTCCCCGACTCTAGCTGGGATAAGTGCATTCCTCAGCATCAGGGACCGTCAAAGTCTGAGAAAAGGCTCATTGTTGGGAGACACAATAACAATTCCTCAATCTACAGTTTCTTAGAAAGATGACACCCCCTCCAGCAATACTTACTCGGGCCTTTTTCGTGCCTGGCAAAGCAGAGGAGGCTTTTGAAAAGCTTGTTGTGGGACAGGGTGGGACAATGGAGAATGAAGAGGAGGGCATGTTGTTAGGTACAGAGGACATCATGTTTCAAACTGGTTTACTTCCAAGCCTATGATCAAACCAATATTTATGGAATTTTGAATAGCCACACAGAGTACAGTATAAATCCTTTTTCCAGGCAGTGAGTGTGAGGGGCCTTTGCCCACCCGAGGGCAAGTTAAATCCCCGGTTTAACTGGATGGCATGTGATCTGGATCCCTGCTGAGGTGAACAGATTTATGTCTGGGGTTATATATGATGTTGCCAGACAGATGTTTTAATACTGGGTGGGTTGATGTCGTTTTAGGCAAGGCAAGTTTATTTATATAGCACCTTTCAGCACCAGGCAATTCAAGGTGCTTTACAAAAATGAAAGACATTCAGACAAAGGCATTTAAAAACAGTAAAAGATAATAAAAGAAACTTTAAAAGAAAAACAAAAAATGAAAGACATTAAGAAAATGGCATTTAAAAACTAATTAATAAAAAGAAAAGCTAATAAAATAAACATTAAAAGATAAAAGTTACAGTGCAGTCTAAGATATGAATAGTTCAATTCTTTCGGTTCTTGATTTTTAATTTATTCACAGAACCTCCCTTTGGAAATCCGAACATTTCCGTCCCGATTGTTAATTTAGACTGATTGTTTTCACCATGTTATGCTCGCATGACATCCACAATCGGACCCTCAGGAGGGTGTACTAGCCCCCTACTTTGTTTTGCGTTCCATAACAAAGTATTTTAGTGTTTCCTGAACACCCCGTGTTACCAAAACACTATTTTTCACCCGTCGGTGATGTGATACTTGTTCCTCAGTACAAATCACCCAAAAACTGATCGTAAACCCTGGCTACGACGGATATCCCAAATATCCTACTTTCGAGCAGTCCCTCTCATAAATATCATGGAGTTTAATTACATTAAAAGAAAAACATTTCCACAAAGTTTTAGGGGTTTTAGAGCTGAGCTGGCAACCCATGCTGGGCCCAGGCTATTGCATCGCTTTTAATTCTGCTTCCTTTTACTCTTTTGTGATTATCCTAGTCCTGTGCTTATTATTCAGAGATCAGGGTCATGAGTTTGGCATGGATTGTGCAACTGTTTTAGATGATGCCAATATAAATCAAGTCTTTCTACAATAGGGGTGTGTGGCAACTTGTACTCTGGATTGCAGGATTTGAGGATAAGTGTAGTACTAGTGGTTAACAAGTTATTCACAATTGAATTTGATTAGCTGCCTAAATTCAGTAAATAATATAGTTTTATATGGATACAAATATGGTGTTGATCATTTTTAGTGCCAACATTTTGAGAAAAAATGAACTTGAATTGGATGACATTTTTTGGAATATGATATATTAGATAAATCATTTGTAAGTTGCAAACAGATGAATGTTATGGATGTTCTTTCAAAAGTTCAGGTGTTTAACAGTTGTATGGCCTGTGGAATGAAACTGTAGATAAAGACTTTTGTTAAAGCTCACCGTTATTATCAAGCTAAACACTGCTGCAGTTTACCAAGGCCCAGTTCAACAGAGTCAAAAAGTAAACAAAATGTTAGCATGCAAACAGAGAAGCTGCCCGGCATCCTTGTGTTCAACAACAGAGTCACCGACCTTAGGTTACGTCATGCTTCAATCACAAATAGTGATAACGGAAGTTTAGAGAAACAACCACACATCTCATTCTGGGTTGGCTGTCGGGCTGAAGGCCAAGAGTGCGGTCTAGCGGTTTGCATACTGCGGTTCAACTTTGCTGACTGTCGCTTTCATTCTGCCTTGAAGGTTGTCTAATGTTGAATGGATTGCCTCCAAAGGGCAATTGAACCCACAAAGCATCCCCAGCGTTGAGGGGCCGGCAGGATATATGTGAGACTGATCACAGCATGAGGCCGGAGTCCAAAACACATGCACACAGACAGACATGCAGAGGCATAAACAAACAAACATCTTATCTACTCTTTGTGTTTCTGTTAGACACATTGATTTCCACTGAAGATCCACTTTCTGAAAGAGGAAGTGTGTTCTCCAAGGATCTGGGTTGTGTAGATTGACACGAAATCCCACTTTCCTCCTATTTGTTGTGACAGCAGTATTATTTAGGCACTATCTGTTACGATTATTGTGTTATGTCACGTTTTCTATGTCTTGGTTTGGGTGTTTTGCTGTTCTCCCTGTCATGTTTTCCTCTGGGAATATTGTCGGGTCCTTTTCCTTGTTTTTCCTCCCGTCGTTAGTTTCCCTAGTGTGTCTGTTGTCTGATTGTGTTCACCTGTGGCCCTTGTGTTTCTCCTCCCCGGCTGTTTCTCGTCTTGTGATTACCCCTCCCTGTATTTAGTCTTGTCTCTTCCTGTGTTCAGTGTCGGTTCGTCTTGTGTCATGACTAGTTCGTCGGTGAGTGTTCTGTTTTGTCTTCGTTTATCACCTAGCCTTGAAATAAAGGAATTTTCACTTTAATCTGCATTTGGGTCCTGCCTGCTTCACACACCGTAACATTACGAACCGACCTATCAAATGGACCCAGCAGATGATCCATGGGAGGTAGAATTACAGCATTTTACCTTCTATCTGGCTTGCTGCTTCGATTGGTGGAAGGGAGCGTCCAGTGTTCGGCAGAAGAGGGCCGCTCTGGTAGAGGCGCACCGGTTGGCAGCAGAGAAACGATGTTTTGTGGAGTTCTTGCCTGACTGGATGTTGGACTTCCTTGAAACATGTGATTCCTGGCCTGCTAGCCCCAGGCATGCTAACTCCATGTCTCCCAATTCCCAACCTGGCACCATACGCCTTGGTGGGTTCCGCCTACAGTCAACCCGTGCTTCTGCCCCAGTTCCTGCTCCTGTCCAGGAGTTGTATTCCGGAACTCGGCTGGCTTATGGAGGTCCACGGAGTATTCAGGCGGCTGCTAAGAGGAGTCGTCGCAAGGCCAGGCTAGCAGCCCAAGCAACCATGGTTCCGGCTACAGAACTGGCCCACACAGCCATGGTTCCAGACCCAGTTCTGGCCCCAGCAGCCATGGATTCGGCTCCAGAACCGGACCTTACAGCCATGTTTCCGGCTTCAGAACCGGACCTTACAGCCATGATTCTGGTTTCAATTCCGGATCCAGAGCCGGCCCATTCAGCCATGTTTCCGGCTCCAGAACCGGACCTTACAGCCATGTTTCCGGCTCCAGAACCGGTCCCGGCAGCCATGGATTCGGCTCCAGAGCCGGCCCATACAGCCATGTTTCCGGCTCCAGAACCGGACCTTACAGCCATGTTTCCGGCTCCAGAACCGGACCTTACAGCCATGATTCTGGCTTCAATTTCGGCTCCAGAACCGGACCTTACAGCCATGTTTCCGGCTCCAGAACCGGACCTTACAGCCATGTTTCCGGCTCCAGAACCGGACCTTACAGCCATGTTTCCGGCTCCAGAACCGGACCTTACAGCCATGATTCTGGCTTCAATTCCGGCCCCCGCAGCCATTGTTCCAGACCCAGCTCTGGCCCCAGCTGTCACAGTCCCCTCTCGAGTCCCCTCTCGAGTCCCCTCTCCAGTTCCCTCTCCAGTTCCCTCCTCTAGTCCCTCCTCTAGTCCCTCCTTTAGTCCCTCCTTTAGTCCTTCCTCGAGTCCCCTCTCGAGTTCCCTCCTCTAGGTCCCTCCTCTAGTCCCTCCTCTAGTCCCTCCTCTAGTCTCTCCTCCAGTTCCCGCTCCAGTTCCCTCTCTAGTTCCCCTCTCGAGTTCCCCCTTGGTTCCCCTCTCGAGTCTCTTCTCGAGTCACGTCTCAAGTCCCTACCCAATGTCCTATCCCGTTGGAGGCCCCGTCGACTACTCCTCTGCCGGGGGTCCTACCAATCGTATGTCTGTCCCGTTGGAGGTCCCGCCGTCTACTCTCCTGCCGGGGGTCCTGCCAGCTCCTTGTCCTGTCTCGTTGGAGGTCCCGCCGACTACTCTCCTGCCGGGGGTCCTGCCAACCCTTTGTCCTGTCCCGTTGGATGTCTCGCCGACTACTCTCCTGCCGGGGGTCCTGCCAACCCTTTGTCCTGTCCCGTTGGAGGTCCCGCCGACTACTCTCCTGCCGGGGGTCCTGCCAACCCTTTGTCCTGTCCCGTTGGAGGTCCCGCCATCTGCTCCCCTGCCGGGGGTCCTGCCAGCTCCTTGTCCTGTCTCGTTGGAGGCCCCGCCGACTACTCTCGTGCCGGGGGTCCTGCCAACCCCTTGTCCTGTCCCGTTGGAGGTCCCGCCGTCTACTCTCCTGCCGGGGGTCCTGCCAGCTCCTTGTCCTGTACCGTTGGAGGCCCCGCCGACTACTCTCCTGCCGGGGGTCCTGCCAACCCTATGTCCTGTCCCGCCGACTGCCCTCCTGCCGGGGGTCCTGCCAATCCCGTGTCCTGGTCCTCTTCCGTGGGGGATCCTGCCGAGGTCTGTCCCACCAGCTCCGGGTCCTGCCCGGCCTCCGGCGCTGTCCCGTCAGTGCCTTCCTGCCCGGCCTCCGGAGCTGTCTAGTCTTCACCCTCGATCCCGGCCCCCTGAGAGCCACGGCCTTCGCCCTCGAGCCCGGCCCACTGACTTTCCCGGCCGCGGTCCTCGCCCTCATGCTCGGCCCCCTGAGTTCGCCCGCGGTGGCCTTCGCCCCTCCATAACCCCCACCTTGGACTCTGTCTTGCCCCCGGACCGTCCGCCCGAGTCCCCCTTCTCGGCTTCTGCCTTGTCCTCGGGCCGTCCGCCCGAGATCCCTTCCGGGTCCTCCGCGGGGCTCCTGGGTTGTCAGCCCAAACCCGTCCTCCTGACCCCCTCCACCCACCCTGGTGGCCCTAGTTTTATGTCCCTCCTCCGGTCCCCCTCCACCCACCCTGCTGGACATTGTTTTTTTTGTTTTTTTTGACGTTTATGGGACTGTTTTGGTGTTTTAGGGACGTCTGGAATCCGTCCCTTGAGGGGGGGGTTCTGTTACGATTATTGTGTTATGTCACGTTTTCTATGTCTTGGTTTGGGTGTTTTGCTGTTCTCCCTGTCATGTTTTCCTCCTTGTATATTGTCTGGTCCTTTTCCCTGTGTTTTTCCTCCCGTCGTTAGTTTCCCTGGTGTGTCTAGTTGTCTGATTGTTTTCACCTGTGGCCCTTGTGTTTCTCCTCCCCTGCCCGGCTGTTTCTCGTCTTGTGATTACCCCTCCCTGTATTTAGTCTTGTCTCTTCCTGTGTTCAGTGTCAGTTCGTCGGTGAGTGTTCTGTTTTGTCTTTGTTTATCACCTAGCCTTGACATAAAGGAATTCATTTTAATCTGCATTTGGGTCCTGCCTGCTTCACACACCGTAACACTATCTCTCAATGACTGTGATAAGATGACCGCTCTCTCTTGCTAGTATCGTCTCTCTCTGCTTTAAATTGATGAATAGAATAAGAAAAAGTAATTGCTTTGATAGATATTGTAATTTTTTCTGTATTTGTTTACCTCCTCCAGTTGTCTTCAGAACTACATTCCCCCAGAGTCCCTCACACTCTCGTGTCCAGTGTGTCGACAGACGTCCATTTTGCCGGAGAAAGGGGTTTCTGCTCTACAAAACAACTTCTTCATCACAAATCTCATGGAGGTTTGAATCTTAATCCCTTTTATTAGCTCTAGTTAAACACAAATGTATTAGCCAAACAGAAAGGTCAAGTGTGTCACAGGGATCAAATGACGAGACACAGATTAATTATGAGGTTAACAACAAAGCAAGGATTAATTAAAAATAATTAAAGATACTCAAAGGAATGGGGGGAGGCTCTGGTTGTGTTCCTGTTATGCTGTTTGGAGTACCACTCTTTGTGCAGAGGGAGGACATTTTTGCAGACTGAGGTCATAGTCAGTTCTTCTTTTCTTTTTTCACAAGGGGCTCTTTTAAGGTTGGTTTTAAATGTAAGGTTTCCATTGTGCATGTAGTGTTAGCATTGGGATTCTATGGAATGGGTGTATTGAATGGAGGGAGCTCAAAAAGTACATCAATGTATGTTTGTGTCGTGAAAAGATGAAGTAAACTGACTACAAGGTTTGAGGACAAAGAAAGAAGTATCTTAGTTCTCATTAACATACCGTAAAGTCATCACTTTGATTTAATTCTGCAGCAATATTTGTTCAATCAATACCCCACCTCTTAATTGTCCACTGCCAAATAAGGAAAAAGTAGGCTAAGCCCTGTTAAATATTAATTAAAAAGAAAATAAACCACCCCACTACAGTTAGTCCAGAAGATACGTGAATGAATTGTGCTTTTGATGATAAAAACATGAACTTTGGCACACTGTTAGAGCATGCCCTAAGGAAGATATTTGAATATAGGGCCATCGCATATTTGTCCAATGGCGCAAATAGCGGCCATTTTCAAAATGTCACATATCTGCTGGACTAAGTTCATAAGAAAATGTCTATTGTGTCTATTAAAAGCAGCGTAATGACATTTGTTTTCAACCAGGTCCTTCAGAGAGACCCCGAGTGCTCGCGGCCTGAGGCCTGCAGTGTCCTGGAGTCCGTCAACGCTGCGGCGGCAGGGAAGCCCCTCTGCTGCCCCAACCATGAGGGAAAGGTGGGAAGAACTTTGTGATGCCCAGTCATCATTTCTTTTAGCAATTGTCAAAGAAACAAAATACTAAAGTCCCTACATATCTGCTGCAAAGCCCAGCAAGAGTGAAGGAGTTTGTCTCCCCCTGCAGGTGATGGAGTTCTACTGCGAGTCCTGTGAGACAGCCATGTGTCTGGACTGTACATCGGGGGAGCACAGGGAGCACGTGACCGTTCCTCTGCGGGACGTCGTGGAACAGCACAAGGCTGCGCTCAAGACACAGCTGGACGCCATTATGAGCAGGTGGGGACTTGAGACCTAAATAAAGCTTTCAGAATATACCACACTTGAAGTCAAAGCATTACATCACATTGTGCTGACGCTTTTATCCAAATCAGCTTACAATAGGTGCAACAAACCATAAAGATACATAAAGATAAAAAGCATGTTATGATTATAGCGGCAAAGGCCCATTTCCACCAGTTAAGCCCCATGCGGTACCGGGGGCAAAACGCAACATCTTGCAGGAAACAACGTCTGGGGGCTTCTTTACATTTAACAAACTATGAATGTGTCACCCACTTAACGGGAAGAAACTCAGCTATCAGACAATATTAACAATTTTTAGCTTAACGAAACACAAGGGTAATAACAAGACTCTGAATTAGCCCCGAGCGAAAAAATGATAACGCACTTAGCACAGAACTCATGGTAGACATACTTTATTACTTATCGGATCTGCACAAACAAGATATCAGATTAAAGCTGAGATTCCACAGATTCTAAAGGTATAAGTATCATCACTGTGATCACAGGTACAACTCAGGACAGCGAAGGCAAACCCAGACAACACACCACGGAGCTTTACGGAGCCTAAACGGCAAATATGTCTAACCTTTGCTGTTTTCTGATCAAAAGTTGTGTTCAATGGCATTACAACGATAACAATGCTGCTGAAGGTCAATCCAATGTCTCTGTGTCCCTTTGAAATAATTACTGATAATCCATCATCATATTTATGGCTATATCCTAGTTTTCAGTTTTCAGAGCGTAACATTGCTTTCGGTTTGGGCAAGCTGCGTGCGCATCACTCTTGTTCCTCAATGGTAACGTGTAGGTGGATTTAGGAACTTCCCCTCGATTCTATTGGCTAATGGTTCAAAAGAGGTGTCAATCATCAAAATCGACCGTGGGGGGCCAAAGATATAGCAAATCCATGCACCCAAATGACCCCAGAAGTGGGTTTTTCTTTTGCTAAACCTCTCTAAAATAGGTCATATGTCACTTGTTTTGCATCAATCTTGATACAGGGTACTTATGTGTTATAGTTTGGATTCCTAAAGCTTTTAGGCTGCTATCCCATCATTCAAGGGTGGTTTTCACTAAGTAATGTTTGTTTTTTGGACGGACACTATAATTTACATTTTTTTACTATGTTCAATCTGAATTTACTTTGAAATAAAAAAATTCTATATTGATTTCGACTTTTCAACATCCAACTCACAGGTTTATCATTGCTTTGAGAAAAAAGATGATTAATTTACCCCTTTTTAGAAGTGAAGTTATAGTCATTTGTTCTGGGCATGTCATTTTCGAGCCTGAGACCTGAAAAACAGGCTTGGGGCTTAACTGGTTTTTGTAGCTTTATAGCTCGTTTTTCATACAATTTTTCTGTTCACATAATGTCATCTTGCAGACTCCCTCAGCTAACATCATCCATCGAGCTGGTGAGTGAGATCTCCCGCCAGCTGAATGAAAGGAAGAACGAGGCGGTGGCAGAGATCACCAGTACGTTTGAAGAGCTGGAACGGGCGCTGCATCAGCGCAAGACGGCCCTCATCACAGACCTGGAGAACATCTGCAGCACTAAACAGAAGGTATATAGTTCACATATTCACATATACCATGGATGCACCTGCAAATGTGCATGCTCATTGTCTAGTGCAGGATCACACACAGGCATTTATCATACAAGCATGACCTGCCATAGGTCTCAAAATCCTGGCGAAATATTTCAGCATGCTGTTCTTTACTATTTCTTTATTTGATTGTTTCTGTGTTCTTAACTTCCCCTCACCTGAGTGCAGGTCCTGCAGGCCCAGCTTTCATCTCTCCTCCAAGGGAAGGACCACATCCAGAGCAGTTGCAGCTTTACAGAGCAGGCTCTCAGCCATGGGAGTGCTACTGAGGTGAGCAAGCTAACAAACACAGATGGGAACATAATATAATGAAGACGAGTTTTGGATAAAAAATAAAAATGACGTGTCTCTCGCCAGGTGCTGCTAGTTCAGAAGCAGATGAGTGAGCGGGTCACAGCACTGGCCAGACATGATTTCCCAGATAAACCACATCAGAACGCACATCTGGACTGTCAGGTATTACATGTGGTTTATTTTATCTGTGCATTATTCTGGTGGTCAGACTGATAATCCAACATGGTCAATGAATGATTTAATGATCTAGTATTGGGGAACTACTACATTCTTCATCCAGAACAAGTTTAGTCTGTCACATAAAATAAATTAAAAAGTAAGAATTAAGTAAAAAAGTCATAGTATTTAATTCAACAAATTCATGGTCAAGTATATCATAATTCATTGTATTTTCTATTGTAAATAGGATTAGGGGGGATTAGCATTAGGGGAACCTGTAGTGAAAAATATTGTCTGTGGTTAGGGTTAAATATGATCCGATCTGCTTTCTGCTCCAGGTGGAAACTGAAGGTCTCCGGCGCTCCATCCAGAACCTGGGCGTCCTCCTCACCACCGCCGCTGTGGCTCACACCTCCGTCGCCACGGGAGAGGGCCTCCGCCACGCAGCCACCGGGCAGCACCACACGGTTACTGTGACAACGAAAGACAAAGTACTGTTAACGCTTATCCTAACTGCCATTTCCTACATGAACTCTTGATATTGCTAGCAGATTAACATTATGCTTTTTCCTTAATCAGTTTGCTAATGTACTTGAGTCACATACTTTCATTTTGTTTTCCATTTTAATTCCAATCTCCTGATATTTTCTCTGGCTGCTCTGGTCACGAAGGCAATTGAAAAGTCCTTATTAGTATCACAAACAAAAGAGCGTCAGTAGAAGATGCAGCTTTAATAGGCTGCAGCCATGCGTATTGTTACATTTAATGCACATCGTCTCTCTGCAGGATGGAGAGCTGGTGCGGATGGGCAATGCTGTTTTAAAAGCAGAGATAACATCTGCTGACGGGAGCCGCATTACTGAGGCAGACGTAGCGGACAATAAGAATGGGACATATGAGGTGGGCTACACATTACGAGTGGAGGGAGAGTACTCTTTCTCTCTGTTGCTGTACGGCCAGCCGTTGCGTGGCAGCCCTTTCCGCCTGCGAGCGATCAAGCCCTCAGATGTGCCTCAATCTCCGGATGACGTGAAGAGGAGGGTGAAGTCTCCCAGCGGCACAGGAGGACACATACGGCAGAAAGCAGTGCGTCGGCCTTCCAGCATGTACAGCACCACCAAGAAGAAGGAGAACCCCATTGAGGACGAGCTCATCTACAGAGTGGGTAAGTTCAGGAGAGACAGTACTGCACTGTACATGGTGTTACCGCAGCATCAGATCTAAATCCACCAGACTAAGGGACAGTTGCACTGTTGGAGGAGCCTGTGACCTAAGATTTTCATTGTCATAACTACACTGTAGCTATGCACACATGACAATAGAAACCAAGTACCATGAAGATATCACACTTATTAACAAAGCAAACTTTCTAAAGCTTGCATCATGTTTGAGATTGACAACTTCCCCTCTAGGTAGCTTCTGTTTTCACTTTTTAATAGACTACAGAGTAAAATGTCTTGCTGTGACTTGATGGAAGAAGTAACATCAAAACATTTTTTTTTATTCTACAAGCTACAGCAGGTTGACAGAAGATCACAAGCTTATATTTTTGCTTACTTCAAAGTGGACTCGGTTTGTTTTAGATTGTGCTTGCTGAAGGTAAACCATTCTCACTATGGACTATCTTTCGCAAGCAGGACAAGGATTCATGATATTTTTTTAACTGTACTGAGATAAACACAAATCAGTCCAAACACTAGCTAATTGTAGTCCAAAACCACTGGTATGAGCCATTAAAGCAACATTTTAAACATGGAGTAGCACATCAACTGAGTGTTTTATTATTTATTCGTCAGGTTCCCGGGGCAGAGAAAAAGGGGAGTTCACAAATCTGCAGGGAATCTCAGCCTCTTGTAACGGTAGAGTTGTGGTTGCCGACAGCAACAACCAGTGCATACAGGTAAGTGCAACCATGAATGTATTTGTGGTCACAAAATATGGTTCTACTGTGTTCATGACACATTTTACTCACAGTAAGATGGAACTGATTACAGATATTCTCCAACGACGGCCAGTTCAAGATGCGCTTTGGGGTCAGAGGTCGGTCTCCGGGACAACTGCAGAGGCCGACAGGCGTCACCGTGGACATGAACGGTGACATTGTGGTGGCCGACTATGACAATCGATGGGTCAGCATCTTCTCGTCTGATGGCAAATTTAAGGTCAGATCTCAAAGACTGTTATTAGCTAGACAGTCCTGAAGTCAAATGAGTAATGTAACTTAATGCTCAAACAATAGCCTTGGAAGAAAAGGTTATAAAATTGACATATGACCTCTTTGTCTCTTTCCCTGACAGAATAAGATTGGTGCAGGCCGGCTCATGGGTCCTAAGGGTGTCGCCGTGGACAAGAATGGACACATCATCACTGTGGACAACAAGGCATGCTGTGTCTTTATCTTTCAATCCAATGGGAAGTTGGTGACTAAGTTTGGAGGCAGGGGGACGTCAGACAGACAGTTTGCAGGTGAGACCAAGGCCTCAATATGCAACTAATGAAGAAGTGCTATCAATCAATGTTCTCTATTTCAATGAAGAGATCTGTCAGTGATGCAAGAGTGGTACTTTTTAAGTTCATCTCATGATTTTTAAATACATCATTTTGCATGGATACTCTGTATTATGTTGGCTTTCGAAATGGAAAAATACAAATAATAATTGAACACTCAACAAGATTTTGTTGACACCTTTACCGTCAGTTACTGCCACGATATTTTCCACTTGTTCCCTTTTTATGCCTGAATACAGACCATCCCATGTAACATTCAGTTTGAACATGTAAGACTGTATACTTCTAGGCAAAGCCCCAGGTGACGCAGCGGCTCCCCCCACAAACTGCGTCTGTGCGGATCAAACTACTCCTTTTTCTTCTCTGTTATCATTTATCTCTGACTACCTATTTTCCTTTCTTTCTGTTTTCTTCCTCCTGTTTTTCAATCTAGAAAAACTTGGCCCATACTTTAATAAATCTGGCTCAGTGTTCAGTAAGTACTAAGTGTGGCCTTGCTGCAACCTTAATCCCACAGTGCGGTGCCCTCTGTCTAACCCGATCCCTGATCATGTGTCTGCCCTCCTGACAACTCAGATTCTTGACAAATCCAAGCTTTGCCTGTACAATAAGAAATGCAATTACATGCTATTGTAATAATCACCTACTATTACAATATTGACCATATTGTCATGTGCATAGTTTTTTAGCCTACATGAATAGGAAGAGATTAGTGTGAAGGATTTTTACTGCCCTGTCCCTTGAAACTAACTGATGTTTCCTGTTAAGATAATCAGTGTTGGGAGCTACAGAGCTTTTTATTAGGAATCTAATAGGCAATAGATTTCACTTTACTACCCAGGAATGTTGATGGTAAATCTCAAAGTCTTGTGCCTTTCCCAATAATCAAATTTGACTGTTTTGACATTCTGAAAATTATGAAACAACTCGCGTAAAGCATCTAATGCATGAAAAGTCAATCGCAAATCAGTACAGCTAACCATGTGATCAAACTAAGTTTTGTAATTAGAGCTGAAATTGTGGTTCAAACGACCGACTAACAGTCAAGAGAATGGTGATAAGTACGGGAATGTGATTCTGTTACAAGTAGAGTGAACTTCACATTAACTCGTCTCTCTCTCCCTATAGGTCCGCACTTTGTTGCAGTGAACAACAAGAATGAAATCATCGTAACTGATTTCCACAATCACTCTGTGAAGGTAAGACATGCTCAGTCCGTAATTCACATTGAATATGTGCATCAAAGTGAGTGCAAAGAGGTAGACAAAGTGTTTAATTTCACTGACTTCCTGTCCCAGGTGTACAATGCAGATGGAGAGTTCTTGTTTAAATTTGGCTCTCATGGTGAAGGCAACGGTCAGTTCAATGCTCCCACTGGAGTGGCCGCGGACGTGAATGGAAACATCATTGTGGCTGACTGGGGCAACAGCAGAATACAGGTGAAACAGGCAATATTCTATAAACCTCACAACTTTGAACGTTTTCTTTAATATAGCATTGTTTATCAGTAATGGGAAATATAGTAGTTACAAAGAAAACATTCACATTAAATGATTAGCAACAGGAAACACTTAACAATTAAAGTACACTATAGCAATAAGGACATCAGTACAGCAAACAACAGTCACTCAAGCTATGGATTGTTATGATATGAACACTAAAAACGTACCTTTATGTTTTTATTCTAGGTGTTTGACAGTGCAGGCTCCTTCTTGTCTTACATCAACACCTCAGCAGACCCTCTGTACGGGCCCCAGGGCCTCGCGCTCACCTCAGATGGACATGTGGCTGTGGCCGACTCTGGAAACCACTGCTTTAAGGTTTACAGATATCTGCAGTAGGCTGAGGGGAGACCTTCAGACCGGACCCCTGCTAAGTTAACAGTGCATACTGCTCGGGGACATGGAGCTGCAACGGGCCCAGGTTCCAGAAATTCATTACCTTTTCATTTTGTCTCTGCACACTTATATATATATATATACCATCACATTTCCAAGTTTCAAAGAAATCTGAGAAAGATGTTTACGTGAAAAACAACCAAAAACACTAAAACTAAATAAGCTAATAATCCCCAAAAATGAAATGAGAAAAAAAAAAAATGAGTTCCCTTTGTAAAAAAAATGGCTACCCTGATGAAAATAAAGTGTTAAAGGTCACCTATTATGCAAAATCTACTTTTTTATGTCTTTTATACATAAATATGTGTCCACTCTGTCTTAAGTGATTCGGAAAGTTTCAGGAAAAAGATTCTCTCTTCTGTCCTGATTTATGAAAATGAGCTGATGAGATTTTGGCTACTTTGTGATGTCACAATGTTTTTTGGGGTTGTGCAATCATTGGCCAATAACAAACCAAGGTAACACCCCCACACCTTATCACCTGAATCTTTTCCTAGAGCACCATTGTGTTCTTTTTAAACAATCATCTCTCAGAGGGGCGTGGCCAGCAGCAGCTCATTAGCATTTAAAGCTACAGACACCAAATCAGCACTTTTGGAACAGGGCTGAAACAAGAGAGGTATTTGGCATTATCTGTTTGGTATTTCGAGCCAAATACTTCAGACATGTTTTGTATATATCTGAGACCTATAATATATTTCACAAAGAGTATAATACGGGACCTTTAATAAAACATCCCATTATCCATATTTTTCTATCTGATCACGGTCTACTTGAGTGTTTTTGACAGATTCCACTAGGGAAAATCAACTGGGAATGAACCTCTGGAACAAGGCGTTGCAGCGTTATTTCTCTTTTATGTGTGACCTCACCAGTAGATAGTGTGCCAGTCTGAAGTAGGTGATGCACTGCTATTTCTTTTGGGCAACCAAGGCGAGACACAGAAGCAGGAGTGCACTTCCTGTTTTCTGAGGACGCTTTGTGTTTCTAGTAACATGCTCAGGCCTTTCCTTGAACACTGCTGCATGTCAGTGTGCTCCAAAATATGACCCTGTTGTCACTGCCTTCAATTGTCATCAGCAAACACAACAGAACACACAAAGACAGTAATGTGTATAAAGAGTTGTTTCTTATTTTTCTCCTGAATTTAGACTATTGTTTTCTTTTATGGCGTAAGATGAGTTGACTTATGTGCAGATGTATTTTGGTACCCAAAGACGAGCAGCAAGAAGCACAACTGTTGATAGAACAAGGTTTTTGAACACAAAAATACTTTTTTTCTTCTATTAACCAAAACAAACTTCATACAGTATACGACACCAATAGTTCGGTTTCCATATCTACAACGTAATGTAGTTGTACATACGGTATGCATATTTAAGTGTACATATGGATTGGGTGTCCATGTTATTTCACTATTTAACCAACTTATTACAGCACTTACACTGGAGCATTATACTTACAGTATATACAATTGAAGGTCATGCCATGTAGGAGCTAGCTGAATGGCTTGCAAACACTAATAGAACAAACTTGTACTCATTGTTTAATGTATGTTTTTTCTTCTAAATACTTAATTTATTTTTCTTTTCTACATCATTTGTTCTACAAATTATTTTTGTAATTGGTGCATTTGAACTGTATCCTCTTTGCCAAACATATTCGTACATAGGCCTTGTGACATGTAGCACTGAAAGCTGTTTTCCCAGAGCTCACATCCTGGACTACAGGAACTTTTCCATCGGCCAAAACGTTTTGTTGTAAGTTGTTGAACATTACACAAGTACAAATATTATAAGAGTTATATCATTTGCAAGAGTAATATATGCCTGTGTATAGTTATTAAACAATCAAAAAGTGTACTGTATATTACAATCACATTCTTGTTGTAGCTGACAAGCACCTTCATCATGGATTTTTCCAGTATTCACTTTCTTGGTTGTTCAGTGTTTTAAAGGTGTTCTGTGCATCTCCTTGAGAAACACAAAGCTAAAACCAGAACGTTTTTACCTGTATTGTATGAATAAACTATTTGATCTGTAATTCCATCTGCATTTCTCCTTTGGGAAAACTGTTATTTCTGATCTTTTTGACTTTCCTTATTCATAAAAATGACCCCTGTGTTCCTATGGTTTTATTTGTGTCCTTGTTTGACCTGTAACTGCACATGTCTGTGTGGAATAAAGGCAGCACATACTGTGTAAACAAAACAGCACACAAACCATATTGTGTGGCCTTCTCCTGTATACTGCAAGAGGCCAATTTTACAAGTAATCACGTGTATCAGGGCAAAGGTATAATTGTAAATATTAAAATCATACGCTATGAAACATTGTGCACATGTTCTGTTTTCATAACAAGACTTCAGTAAACTAATTCCTTTTCTGTACATGTTTTATTTTTAAAATAGGTATAAAGGCATATGCTTGTTTACTTTTTTTGCTTAATCAGAAACCAATATATTCATGCATTTTCTTACCAAAATAAGTGAATAGTCAGATGTCTCGTTAAGTGTTGAAGTCCCATCGTGACAGGCACTTTAGTTTAATGCCACTGCTCTCCGCTGTGAAACTGTAGCATATTATATAATACATAATGAGGTCACACAAGCAGCCATTACAATTTGTGCTCATAATGATGATTAACCGTCCTGTTAGGAAGATCTGGGCAACTATTTATAAAACCAGCCCTTCATTAATACCACATCTCTACAAAAATAACGGCAAAATAACCAGAGCCGGCGGGGGAGGAAACTGTTTTCTCACCTCCTCCTTAAATGTTCTGGCAGTATGAACTGAATAAGAAACACCAAACCGTCTCAAAAGGTTTAATGAGAATGTCGGACCAAAATAGCAAAAAACTCTTACACTAGGCATGAACCCGTTCAGCGCAAAGAGTACGCTGCAGAATGGGACAAAAAAAAAGCCCTTAAAAGTAACTTATGCAGGGCAGACACTAACTGCGTTTGAGTAGCAAAGTGGGACAACATTAAAAAAAAACGTTCTCAAGACAACATTGAGAGTTTAGAATAGGTCGATTTTCCACAGCTAAAAACGATGGAATGACACAAACCTGGCTGACAGCATCTAGACATTAGGTTTTGAAACAAAATGATAGGTTCGACATCCATTTAAATGTATCCCTAATCAACATTCGTTTTGGTTTACATTACCAGAGGCCTTGTGTAGAGAAAGTTAACACTCTTGAAAAATAAAACTTGAATTTCTCTTCTTTTAATGTTATTGTTCAGTCTAAGAAACACTTAGCACATTTAAAGCAGGTGAAAGGGCCACAAGATTTTATTTTTAAAGTCACACTTAAAGAAACAGCCCAAACACTGCTAAACCTATTACAGGTATGAAACTCAGAACTCTTGAGAAATTAAAAGTATGTATAAATGAGGTGTACTATCTTGGACAAAATGTTTATCAGTAAATATTCAGAGTTTAAGAGCACAAAGTGTTGCAGTCATCAGGTGAACATCTTAAACATCTACGAATAAACTGAATAATAAATATTGTGAATGTCTGTTAGGCTCCTCAATAGGATTCTGAAAAAAAACATTTAAGACGGCTTGCAGGTCCATAACTGCACAAGCAAAACTAAAACCATCTAAAAGAAGAATGTTAAAAACATGTTGAAGGAAAAAGATTGTTTACAGTTACACATATTACATTCAATAAAGAAAAATAGAAAACTGGTTGAAAAATGTCAGGAGTTCAAACCAATCAGCACCATCCATCTATTTATAATCTCAAGCAGGAATATTTTAAAATAACTATCACCAAGGCAATGCTGGGGTAATTTGTAAAAAGCAACCTGAACAAGTTATAAAAACGTAATTCAGCATTTGGTAAGTTTACATGTTAGTCAAGTCCACCAGGCTGGATAGAAGGTCTACAGTCTCTCCAGTTAAGCAACTGATTTTAGGATATGGCTGTTAATCTTAATGTATCATTTACATTTTTCTAAATGGTTTGCTTTGTCATACACCTGCTAATTCTCCAGCAGACTGATGACATTTTCTCAGATTTGTTTGATAGCTATAACAAAAGCACAATGGCACGACTTCTGCATCACTGCTCAACAAAGAAATGTGCTTCAGAGTAACGTAGAGGAGTTTGGAACTTCCAAAAATGTAAGCAATATACAGAATAAAAAAACAGATACAATAAGGGGATTTAGAAACAATGATAAAATGATCTGTTGACAAATCAACCTGAACCACTCTCTCCTGGAACTACAATCTGGCCAAATTCAATCAAGTAATTCTGATAGCTATGAGCATGGAACTGGCTGTTATATAATGAAGGAATCTATCAACGTGATACTTGATGACGTTTTACGCAAAGCCACTGAGCCTGCCTGCCAAAGAAATTAGCCTAGGCATAGTAGTTGACATCTGAGGCATCTGCAACCAGTGGTATTTACAACAAAGCAGCTCTCAGACTGCAGCCAGTCACCAGGGGTTTAAGCCTACAGTGTGTGCCGGGGTTAAAAGAAACCACATTTAACATTTTCAAATTGCCTTATGAGAAAATGTAAGCACTTCACATCAACCAAAGTGTGATGAGACACCTGGTAACTCATGTTCTAACTCCAGTAAGACCAACAGGAAACATGTGCACATCACACAGACACAGGGTCAACATCCACCTGTCACTCCATCCAAGACTGTGAGAAGAAACCATATTGACAGCAAATCTGAAAACCATGGCGTACTATTTTACCAGTAGATAATTAGATGTCATGACTCTTTTCAGATCTCTCAGTAATAGTGGCATATCTGCAGCCTGCTGCCGGGGTCATTCTTCCCCGGGCTGAAGAAGGGATAGACAGGCTCTTCAAAGCAGGTATCAAACATGAACAGTCTCTTCATTGTGACGGCGTCATAGAAACTGAGGCGCCCGTTGTCGTAGTCCAGGTACACGCCGACCCGAGGAGAGTTCCAGTAGTCGGCCACGGGGATTCGCCCGTCCTCTCCGTTGGCGTACAGCCGGTCCTGCAGACACAGGCTCCAGTACCCCCGAGGAGGGGGGTGAGGCTGACGAAGCCCTTCCTGTTGCTGCCCCTCAGTGGTGACTCCCAGGTACCACACGCCTTTGTCCTTCACGGTCCACCTCCCAGTAGTGCTGGCCGCTGGCGTATGGGCCGTGGCGAGGACTCCACAGAAGCGGAGTGAAGCGGGCCGGCAGGTCGGGCTCCTGGTTACGAATATGGCCCCTCCTCTACTTTGTGTCAAAGTCTGAGATCTGCAGGTTTAGGTGAGCCGTGTCGGGGTCCAGTGAGGTTCTGGGGAATCTACACAGAAAGAGAGGGGAAGTTAGGCTCACCTTGATCATAGAGCGGCTGAGAAGGCAGTAACAGTTGTAAAAAAATACAAGTTAAGGAATCCAATTGTGACATTTATGTCCAAGGAAGCAAAAGTTGTCTTAGGGTAATACGATGTCAAACATGCATGGTGTGGTAAACTCACTAGTGTGCAGCACGTGCATCATCTTCTTCCACATGATGAGCTGGAAGGGCCCGGAGAAGTCTGTGAACTCAGTCGCACAATTAACGGTGTCGAGGGATTTGAACGGCTTGCAATGGATGACTCTGTAAGGGAGAAAACACAAGTGTAAAAGGTTAATTTTGCTCAATTAATAAATAAACAGTTTTATAAGGTTCATATAAAATACAAAACTGTAAGCTACTTACTCATTGTGTGTCTCAGCAAGGCTCTGATTGAAAGAACAAAAAGTCATATTAAAGCACACACTTCACTTATGTACAATTGGTGGTGGTGTTTTAAGTTTACTTTCAGCCATTGCTTCTTATTACATACCAACTGTTACTATAAATATATGACAAATATATCCTTACAATAATGCTCAGCATCAGAATCAGAGAGCAGACGTGTTATCACTGACCTCAAAGCTAGTTTTCCCACCGATGTGACCGTGGATTTCAGCTATAGGCTTTGTCTACAGACGCCACCGTCTGTCTCCACGATCTTCAGGGTTCTCGTCGATGACGGCCATGGTGGCCACTTTCCTCAGCATCCAGGCTCTCAAGCAGGGAGTCTCTCTCATCGAGCAGGAACTGCACCAAGGCACCAACATCCGCCTCAATCTTCTCCTTGAGTCTCTTTTTCTTCAACTGGAGACCAGAGAATGTCAGAAGATAAGGATCAAAGACGTTATGATTATAAGTATCAATGGTATGTGTGCTTAGCATTACCTACAGTAACATTTGAAAGCATCCTGTAACCCAGCGTTTAAATTACCAAATGTCGGGATTACCAATCAGGCCTCCATGCTGATTTTGTGATATTGCATTTAATTAGTTGATGAAATAAGGTTACATTTGGAAGATAGAGAAGGTTGTTATCTTGTTAGAATACTTGAACCAAACATACACTTTTTAAGTTGTGACCTATAAAAATGAAAATATGGTTTAAAAAAAAAATGATATTACATACCTTCACTTCACTTGTGGTGCGCTCATCAGCAGTTATAACTTTTACACATTGAGACTTCTGCCAGTTGAGCTCCATTAGCCTCAGGTTCAACTCTATCTGTAAGAAAAATGATCATTAGGACACACAAACTCGTACATATTCTAGATGTCCCAAATAACACATGCAGACAAGGCCACATCATCTCTGATCTCGTGGCAAGATAGAGAGTAGGACACTTAAAAATGAAAACATTTGCATAAACTTACCTTCATGTCATTCACAACTTCTGGTACTGGTGCTACCTCATGGTGTCTGAAAGTATATATATATATTTTTTTTTTAAATGAAGCACACACACTCAAGTGTCAGACAGTTTAGAAGACAATCAAATATAATTTCAATTCAGTAGGGCTTCAAATTCCCACAAATATATGGGTCATACAATTATAGTAATTCATTAAACTGTAGGCTTAATAGAACAATTTAACAGGACAAACATCAATGGGGTGACATACTGTTGAAGTTTGGAGGCCAGCACACACAGATAATAGAGTCGGTAGATTGCAAAAATGATGGACAACATCAAGGGCAAACAAGATGAAGCAAGCTTGTTTTGCAAAATATACATGACCCTGGCTCTCTAACAAGATACAGCAAAGTATAATATAAACTCAAACTAGTAATTCAAGTCTAGCAGAAATGTCTAGCAAGTAGCTATAACTATGCATTGAAAATAAGAGTGGTTGGCAGATTAATTTTGCAACAGAACCAAACCACACAAGAGTAAATAGGGCTAGAAGTTGGAATACAGTAACTGTCATACAATGGAATTATCCTGATAGGCCTTTACATATGGCATGCATTATGTGAGAAGGGTCTGGGTGTAAA